AGAGGGTTTTCAAAATTTTCCCAACTAAAATCACCAATTAAATGCCAAAACTAGAAATAGATTGGGTAATCTAACCAAAATTAAGTTAATAACACTTACCCCGTTGTTTTCTCTGAATATCTCCCAAAAATCGCCTATTCCCGAGCTCCAATTCGCTAAAAATGGAAATTTTTCAGAACTTAATGTTCTGTCCAGAAAAATTCCGGGTACTGTTCACGTGTTTTCACTATTCACGGGGGCACTGTACACGATACTGTTCACGGTACTGTACGGCACTGTTCACGGGGTACTGTACACAATACTGTTCACGGGGTACTGTATGGCACTGTTCATGGGGTACTGTACACAATACTGTTCCTAAGTCCGAAATCACTCCGAGACACCTCCGAAACACTCCCGAGCCCTCGGGGCTCCTAACCAAACACATGCACTAACTCAACAATATCCTACAGACTTAATCGTGCGATCAAATCGCCAAACTAACATCATATACCACGAATTAAGCTTTAAAATCCAAGAATTCTTTCAAATTTTCTTAAAACATCAAATTTTCCATTTTGAGTCTGAAACACGTCAAACGACGTCCGTTTTCAACCAAACTTTACAGAAAGTGCTAAAACCATATATAAGACCTGAACCAGGCGTCGGAACTAAAATATGGGCCCGATACCATCACTTTCTAATCAAATTTCATTTCCATTTTCCTTAAATATTTTCAGAAAACAATTTTACTCAAAAATTCATTTCTCGGGCCTGGGACCTCGGAATTCGATTCCGGGCATACGCCCAAGTCCCATATTTTCCTAGGGAGCCCCTGGGATTGTCAAATCACGGGTCCGGGTTTGTTTATTCAAAATATTGACCGAAGTCAAAGTTATTCATTTTAATATCAAAACTTAGCAAATTTTCACAGAATTTCATATTTGAGCTTCCGGCTATGCGCCCGGACTGCGCACACAAATCGAGGCAACTATAAATGAGGTTTTCAAGGCCTCGGAAGCTCGGAGTGGATAAGAAAACAGGTGATGACCCCTTTGGGTCGTCACAGGGGTGATTGGAGGTTGTCCGCCGCCGTGGGCGATTTTCGGCGGGCGGCGGACGGTGGTGTGATGTGGTGTATGTGTTTGATCTCTGGAGAGAGATGAGTGAGGGGGGTTTGGTATATTAAAATGATTGATTTAATTAGGGTCGTTGGATGATGGGAATCCAACGGCTCTAATCAAATCGTGAATGGGAAACGGGGTCGTTTTGTTTCATGGGTGCTGGACCGGTTCAGGGGCGGGTCGGGGTCGGGTAATGGGCAAGGCTTTGGGCCATTTGATCAAATGAAATCGACGGCCCTGATCAAAGCGTGTCCAAACGACGTCGTTTGGTTCTGGTAGGGGCGGACCAGGTAGGGAACGGGTTGGGCTGGATTGGGGATTAGGTCTAGGGTGGGTTTTTGTTTTGGGCCTAGGATTCTGACTAAATTGGCCCAAACCAGATTTTCCTCTTCTTATTTTCTTTTTCTTTTCAATTTTCTTTTTAATTAAAATAAAAATACAAACCTAAATTTAACCTTGACCAAATTATCCTAAAAAATATTAATTAATTCTAAGTAGTTATTATCACAAATAACTAAATACCTAATTAAAAGAAAATCATACCATTTTGACATTAAACACTAAAATGCGAAGTACGTTATTTTTTAACTTTTTGTGATTTTTTTATTTTTGTAAAATAACTTACTTAACTAATCCTAATTGTAAAATTAAATCCTAAATTCAAACGCAACATATTTTTGTATTTTCATTAATTTAACAAATAAACATGCACAGACAAATGCAAACAATAACAGAAAATACCGCAACAATCCACAAAATTGCAAACAACGGAAAAATTATTTTATTTTAAATTTTTTGGGAGTAATTCTCATAGGGCAAAAATCACGTGCTCACAAAGTGTTTTCAACAATTCCAAACAACTAGCAAAATACATGAACTGGCCCAAAAAAGACAAAATAATCAATCCAAGTTTGGATATTTAACAAAATACATGAACTGAAATCCAAAATAGCACAATCCTAACACAACTATGGCGCTGGAGGGGCTGGACTTGCAACTAAAAAGGTAGTTGCTGAAGTTCCAATTTGGCTTCTCTTGTTTGCACTTAGTTGTTGTAGCTGGGAAGTAGTTATAGCATTTCTGCCTTTAAACTTAAGGCCAGGAGGTTTAAATCCAAAATCGATATTGACTGCACTGGTATCCTTTACAACCTTGGTCCCATATGATACAACTCTTTCACCCGAACTACCTGGCTGAAATTGACATAAAAGGCACATAGATCAGTTTTAACAAATGGTAGTAATAACAAAATGAAGTTGTGAATAGACAGTCATTACATTAATGATAGTCATTCCAGTTGTAGGGTTGGTGTAACATCCAAAGCTAACATTTCTTGATCTCTTATGTCCATAAGATGGTGTTGCAGATTCAGCACATCTTCCTCTTGTTCTTTTGACCCCGACAGTAAGTTTTCTAGGAGTAGTTGGTGGAGGTGCATTTGAAAATGTACCCCTACCAAAACTAGTGTTGTTTTCCCTTCCTCTGCCACTGGTTGTGCTTGTATTAGCACTCTTTCCCCTTCCTCTGCCGCTGCCCCCATTAGTTGTTGTAGATTCTTGAGTTGCTTGACTTCCTGCATCCTTCCAACCAACCTTTCTTCAATGCATCAAAGCAGACATAGAAATATTTAAATAGATTCTTTCCAGACTCTGAATTTCTGTCAGTTTTGACCAAGCAAGTACTACCAGGATTGGTTTGTTTAATAATATCAGTATAGTCACATAATCTAGCAAACTCCATCTTCCAATCCCCCAAATGTAACTCGTCTCCATTTTCAAGGTTAGACACAATATTCAATAATTATGCATCACTATCCACATAGAAAAAATTCTTAGTTTTCGGGTCTTGGTAATAGAAGCCATCCACTGTGGTATATCCCATTTTTTTAGTGTAATATAATAATTCTGGAACAGAAAAATGGTCTTTATCAGTATCAGCTATTAACACCTCCTGTTCCCCCACATATTTCGAGTCTTGGTCAAGGGTAAAATTACCACCATGGTGAAAATTAGCAGCAATAAAGTCTGACATCACTATTTTAATATTCCCTAATTTCTTTAAAAAAAACCCTGATTGTGGTCCTAAATCAGTCCCAACTCCCATATAAGCCCACCACTAAAATGACTACAATACAAGAACTAAAAAGACTTACCCTTTCAACACTTCAATTTTGAAATCAAACAGCACTTCAACAAGTCAGCACCGACAATATACTGATGATCGTTCTTCAAGCACATATTTGGACAAAATCAAACAAATCGAACATATATTTATCTATGGCAATAATTACCACTCAATATCGAACGAAAACGAAGCAAAATCAATGGACATGCATCGCTTTGGGCGGGTTTTACTGGAATCGAATTTGGGACTTAGGGCTTTTTTTGGTCGTTTTTTGTTTTAGGAATGTGTAAAGAGGGTTATAATTAGGAATAGAGTAAATATGTTTGGTTTTAGCCGGTAAAATAATCTATGTGTCAATTTTTAATTGGTTAGATTATCCATGCTGGAAGCGCGTCAAAATTTTTTATAAGCTCAGGTCGGACGTGTTAAACTGGTGCAGTAAAAGTATAGTAAAAGTGTTTCGGTGGAAAATGACTTAGTTGAGGTGTTCAAGTGAACTTTCTTTGATAGTTTAAGTGTCTGTCTATGTATTCTGCCATTAAAAATCCTTGCATTGTTAATACCATTGTTTGCTATGCATTAGTTACGCATAGGATAATACTAATATGATGTATAACTAATACAAGTATGAATTAAACGTAGGTCAAAAAATTATACCAAAAAAAGAGATTAGTAATGCACAAAGCTAATGCTTGTATTATTATTTTTTATTATCTCCTACTAAACGACCCCTAAAGAAATTATGGCTATATATCAAAGCGTACTGCATCTTGCCGTTTAAAGAAGTTACTTATTAAACTGTTTAGCATGATTATTAGGTACATGATTTGCCGTTCAAACTTTTAGTTAGTCATCAGACGGTTAGTAGTTCACCAAATCCAAGGTGTGTGTATATGTGTGTGTCAACAACTCAGGTGAAATACTAAAGTCGGCTAATGATATAAGAGCCATTTTTCTGAATTTCCCCTTATACGCACTAAAAATATAGTAGTATTGTTTTTGGACCCTATGTTGAGAAGTGGAGTAAGGCTTCCAATCTTTCAATGTGTGATAGGTACGTTTGGATTCTCGGCGCTCTCTTTTTCTATTATGTCAGCGTAAAAAAGCGACGAAAAGTAAATTTTAAGAATAATAGTCAGTAAATTACGAGAAGTTATTATCACCAATAACAACACGTCTGTAAAAGCCCCATTAGGATTTAGGCAAGGAGCTATTTCCTTTCTCTTGAACCTATAAAGAAAAGTCAAGCTTACCATTTTACACGACAAAGAATTTCCAACTCGAATAAGTAAACTTGAACTTTCTCAAGACGAATGAACCAAGTACCAAAAAAACACGCATATGTATGTATACATTTGTACAACAATTTATCCCAAAATTTTGCTCGAGATCTAACTTTCAACGAACAAATTATGTATAATTTAAAGCTAAGGAACAAATTAGAAAATTTAAGCATAAATAAAAGTGGCATACTTTCATTAGAAAGTTGCACAATTTTAACAAAGGGTGATAATTGACCTTAGCATATTCTGAAGAGGAAAAGGGAAAAAGTTGAGGATTAATTGGAAGGACGAATACATCTCAATTCCCTTTTATTCCATTACAGAATCTGATGCAAAATATAGCAATTTTGGCTTTTCAGAGCCATAGGCCAACACTGTGACGCCCCATGGGTTCGGTTTAGGATGCCCTTAAGCTTGTTGGTCATAAACGCACAAAGCTGACAAATAAAGCTCCCAAAGCATGTCAAAAGAAAGATACCACTATCCCGCCTCTTTCTCGAATCATCACAAACACAATATTCTCTAACCAAAACCAGAAATGAATACGAATGTAATTCTAGACATGTCTATAGTTTTTAATTGAAAGCATTTTGGCTTCGGGCGCAGATGCCATCGAACAGGCTCTTTGCCACAAGATGGCAGTCTTAAAATCTCCTTCCTTGAAACCATCATTTTCTTTCCTTTCAAAATGTCAGGGAATTGACCTGTCTGCCCTTATTCCTCACTTTCACAACTTGACCAGTATCTTTTCCCAGTTAGCCAAAACACTTCTAATACCAACTAAAAACAATACATTTCATGGTGCAAACACAGACTGAAAAAAAAAAGAAATAAAGAGAGCTAGTGCTCATATGAGATGTTAAGTTATATGCCTTCCTTTTGAAGTGGCCTCACTATGCCATCAAGCAACCACAGCCACAACAAAAATAGATGTGTTGAAGGACACTTCAAAGATCTTACAAACTTTAATGTCTGGAGAAGACTAAGAACAAAACTGTGTGATCCATAATACTCTCAAACAGCAAGTTATGACCAGAAAATTAATGTTGAACTTTTTGGTAAACCCTTCTGTATATTTTGCAACCTTCAAATTCTGCATGGATCTCCCTCTCAGTCCTTATCCCCATTGGGTTGTTCAATACCCATCCATCACCATCACAAGGTAAACTTGGATCAACACTATCTATATGCACAAGTTTATTAGACACGTCATCAAAATAATTCCTCATGTCAACTGCCACGTCAAGCACATCAGATTGTATAAAGATCTGCCAACCATCAACTAGAAAGCTCAGGGTATAATGCAACAAAAAAGATTATGCATGTGATGCTTAGCAGATATCATAAGAGCATGCTCATTTTCATGCTTTTTGTTCTTACAAACATAAAATAAGATGAAAAGAAAGCGCAGTACGTTTATGGAATAGATTTGTAAGGAATTTGAAGCTAGATTTATTCAGACCAAAAAAAAAGGCAACCTAGATATTATAATTATCAGACAATTTGCTGGCTTTACCATCACTGCACTCACATTGAACGGGACGTAGCCAAAATTTAGTGGTTTTAGGGCATAACATCAAGGTTAGGTAATAGTAAACCCTTTTATCCATATATAGAGTAGATAACGACCTGTTAAAAACATTGTATTATGCTTTTCCACTGAAACCACCAAGAATTGACATCATGAATTATTGGTGACATCAAGCAAAATAATCACAAGTTTGGAAAAGGGGTCAAAGCCTAAAGGGATATGAGACAGTTGGAGCTAACATTTGGATACAAGTTCTCGATCATCTACTTTGCACAACCATGGACAAGTACATATGGCCGCATATCCCTTCACTCTCCTCTCCTGTCCCTGGCACCAATGGGAACAAGCGTATGTGTGGTTGTGCAATAGGTGATACCATGATGCTTCAACTTTAACTGGACTAACATTGATATATAAGCCATGCCAAGAATGGACATAGCTTTCTTAATAAAACTAGCTTTTAATTCCTCACATGAGAACATCATTCCCATGTTCTTAGGAAATTAATATGTTGTGTGCCATCTATCGTTATCTCTCTCCTTGGACTATGGACTTCGTAAACCACTCCATTTGCAGCAATATTTTCTTTTCAGCAAAATCTTTGCCTTCCACTAGCACCAAGATAAATGATATCACCTTCAAGCACTATAGCAGTTAGCTTCAAATTATTATTATTTGATCATGGTGACCCCTGTTTCACAACCAGAAAGGGTAACTCTTCAACATAACAGTAACATTTTGTATTTTAGTATGTCAACATTTTTTGATTGTCTCAACATAACACAATCATCTGTCAAAGCGACTTCAGAGAGCACTACACAGGAGATTTGTGGGTAATGGTACACCTTGAACAATTACTTAAAACCGTTTTTGCTGAAATGGAGTGAGGCACTGCAGGCACAACTATGTAAGCACACAGCTGCTGCACACATGAGAGCTCATCTTTTGTGTTTTTTTTTTTTTTTTTTTTTT